GGGGGGGGCGTCCTGCCCCGCCCCTTAGGTTGAAGCTCTGGGGGGGGGGGATCTTTGCCAGCGCCGCAGGGAGGAGCCCTGGCCGTGGTGCCCGGGAGGCTTCGATCTGACCCCCCGGCCCTGTCCTCGCTCTTGGCCAGTGTGAACGTGGCTTCCTTGACCCAGTCCGAGATCCGGGACATCATCCTCGGCATGGAGATCTCGGCCCCCTCCCAGCAGCGGCAGCAGATCGCGGAGATCGAGAAGCAGACCAAGGAGCAAAGCCAGCTGACGGCCACCCAGACGCGGACCGTCAACAAGCACGGCGACGAGATCATCACCTCCACCACCAGCAACTACGAGACCCAGACCTTCTCCTCCAAGACCGAGTGGCGGGTCAGGTGGGTGCCGGGAGCCCCGAGAGGGGAGGGAGGGAGGGGGGCCGGCTCCCCACCCTCCCCCTCAGGGGCTGCTTGGCGCAGGTGGTCACGCCCTTCGCGTCCTCCCCCAGGGCCATCTCTGCAGCCAACCTGCACTTGCGCACCAACCACATCTACGTCTCCTCGGACGACATCAAAGAGACCGGCTACACCTACATCCTGCCCAAGAACGTCCTGAAGAAATTCATCTGCATCTCCGACCTGCGGGCTCAGGTGTGCCCCCGCCACGCTTCGGCCTTTGGGGACCCCTCTTAGCCCAGAGTCCCACCCGTCTCCGTTTCCGCATCACGGTCTCGACTAGAGTGGGCTCTTAGAGAGGGAGGACAAAGCGGCCACCGGACCTTTGCCCCGGCGCCTCCCCGGCTGAGCGGTGCCCAAGGGTGCCACAGCCCGGATGCCTGTGTGCCTCCACACTGCCAAGCTGCTTGGCTGCCGGTGCCCGGGTGACCCGGCCTCTCTGTGCCCCCAGATTGCAGGGTACCTGTATGGGGTGAGTCCCCCAGACAACCCCCAGGTGAAGGAGATCCGGTGTATTGTGATGGTGCCCCAGTGGGGAACCCACCAGACCGTCCACCTCCCCGGCCAGCTGCCCCAGCACGACTACCTCAAGGCAAGTGGTCTCCCTGGGGTGCCCCGGGGGGGGGGGAGGCAGGCGGGGAGGGGAGCAGGTGTGGACACCGCTCGACCCCCGGATCCTCCCGCAAACGTAGGAGATGGAGCCCCTGGGGTGGATTCACACCCAGCCCAACGAGTCTCCGCAGCTCTCCCCGCAAGACGTCACCACCCACGCCAAGGTCATGGCCGAGAACCCCTCCTGGGACGGGGAGAAGACCATCATCATCACCTGCAGGTCTGTCCGTCCGTCCGTCTGGTCACTCTGCGGCGGGGGGCGAGCCCCAGAGCCAATGGGCCCCCTCCGCTGACCGGCCCCTCCCCCCTCCCTCCCGCCGCAGCTTCACCCCGGGCTCCTGCACCTTGACGGCCTACAAGCTGACCCCCAGCGGCTACGAGTGGGGCCGGCAGAACACGGACAAGGGCAACAACCCCAAGGGCTACCTGCCCTCCCACTACGAGCGGGTGCAGATGCTGCTCTCGGACCGCTTCCTGGGCTTCTTCATGGTGCCGGCCCAGGGCTCCTGGAACTACAACTTCATGGGTGAGTGGGAGAGGCCGGGGTCCTGAGCCCCCACCCCACCCCCACCATCCTGGGGCCCTTGGGGGGGGCAAGAAGCGGCAGGAGTGGGCGGGGGCACCCCTTCCCCCGCCCCCCCGGCGCAGAAGGGGGGGGGGCCCCCCCCGGCCCCCCCCCCCCCAGGGTCCCTGGCCGTTTCGGGCTCTGGAACCAGGACTCCGCCCCCCCTTGCAGGTGTCCGGCACGACCCCAACATGAAGTACGAGCTGCAGCTGGCCAACCCGAAGGAGTTCTACCACGAGGTCCATCGCCCCTCCCACTTCCTCAACTTCGCCCTCCTGCAGGAGGGGGAGGTCTACTCAGCGGACCGGGAGGATCTCTACGCCTAGCCTGGCAGCCCCCCCCCCCCCCCCGCCCCCCCCCCCCCCCCCCCCGCCTGACCCCCCCCCCCATCCCCATCCCATCCCATCGGGCTTGTGTGAAGTTTCTGTCTAATGCCATGTGACGTTTCAGTTGTTTAATAAAGTTTTGTATACCGGAAAGGAGTCTCTCGTGCATCCTCTCGGCCCCTCCCACAAGACTCGTTGGGGTGGGGGGGCGACCAGAGCGGGGCTCTCGGTTGAAGCTCCCTCCCCACCGCAAGGCCGTTGGGACCCGTCCGAGCGGGCGGGCCAGCGTGGGCAAGGAATGGGCTCCGTTGCCAGCGGCGGGGCTGGCGGAAGAGGCCGCTTTCGGTTCCCCTCGAAAGGGAAAGCGGTCACGCCCCCGAGCCCCTCCCGCTGCGTCTGGCGCGGGGATCCGGGCGCCTCGGCCCCTGGGAGGCCCCGGTTAGGCTTCCCCGCCCCCCGCGCGCCTGGGCCGGCGCTGGGCCGAGTCCCGGCGGGGCGGGGCAGGCGGGGCGGCGCCTCCTCTTCGCCCGCCCGAGCGCAGTCAGTCGCCCTTGGGCCGAGCTGGGGCAGCGCCGCCGTCGCCTGGCCGTGGCCGGAGCGCGGTGATCGGCCGGATGGAGGCGGCCTACGTTTACCGCCTGGCGGCCGCGCTGGGCTCGGAACTGCAGCGGCTCTCGGATCGCTTCGGGGCGGCCGCCCTGGCCGGGCTGGTCCCGCAGGTGGTGCGCCTCCTCGAGCTGCTGGAGACGCTGGCCGCGGACGGCGCGGCGGGCGGGCTCGGCGGGGCGGCCGACCTGCGGCTGCCGGGCGCGCCGTCGGACGGGGAAGCGCCCGGCGCCGCCGCCGCGGTCCAGCGCTCGCGGCAGGTGCGGAGGCCCGCGCGCTCCCCGGCCTTTCCCCGCGCTGGGCACCGGCGGCCCGGCTCTGCCGCGGGTCAGGAGCGCCTCCTCCTCCTCCTCCGGAGGCCGCTGGGGCGGCGGGAGGGCGGGAGATCGGGGCGGGCGAGGGGAGCCGGAGCGCTTGACGGCGGTCGAAGCGGCCGGTGCGCTTCTTCCCCTGGCAGGTGGCGGAGCAGCAGCTGGCCGAAGCCCGGGAGCGGGAGCGGCGCCTCCAGAGCCGGCTGGCCCAGCTGGAAGAGGAGCAGCAGCGAGCCTTGAGCCGCCTGGCCGGGGGCCAAGCCCAGGAAGGTGAGGCCGGGCCGGGCCGGGCAAGGAGGGACTTTCCTCGAGGGCGAAGCCCCGGCCGTTGCTTTGGGCCACGGAGGAGGAGGAGGGGGGGGGGCAGGAGGAGGAGGGAGCCGCTTCTGCCAGAGTCCCTCCGCATCCACCTGCTGCGTCCTCTTCGCTTGAACTTTGAGCTGGGGGAATCCAGCAGCCCTTTGGCCGACTTCCTGGTTTTGATGCTGTGAAGTGTAGGCTGCCTCCTGCCGCCCTAGGGGTGCCCCGACCAGAGGGTGGGGGTGGTGGTGGTGGTGGGGTGCAGAGGGCATCCTTTCACAGACCCCCACTTAGCTTGGGAGGCTGCAGTGGGCGATTGCACCCCTCGGGTGGGCTTGTGACGCAGAGGGAGCAGCTGCATTGGCCCAACAGGCTTAGGGGGAGGGGGGGTGTTCCGGAAATCTTGCCTGGTTGCTTAAGTCATTAGCCCAGGTGTGTCCTGCCTGGGGAGAGCGGCAGCCTCCCGGCCTCCCACATGCGGTTCTGCTCCCGGCTTCTTGGCTGGACGGGCCAGGAGGGAATCTGGAATCAAGCTGGACTGGAAAGAAGGAGAGGGAGGCTCCCGTCCCCAGAAATTTCCAGTTGTGCATCAGGAGTTGCAGCTCAGCCAGAAATAAAATCCGAGCATCCAGGGGGGCATGGCCTTTGTGGGGTGCCCAACACCCACTGGCGCTGCCTTAGAGGGTGCCACTCCCTGGCGGGGAGGAGAGAGGGGCCTCTGCAGCAGACTCTTCCCCAGGGAGGGCGTTGGACTCGCCCCAGCCAGCTGCAGGGCTGAAGGCGCTCAGAGACTGTCAGGCGGTTTGCTTGGTTTGGGTTTAGCAAGTCATGTGGTTGTGAGTTTACCATTCGTGCAGACCTGGTCAGCTGGGTGTCAGGGCTCCCATTTAAATCATGAGCCTCTAGCCAGATTTTCAAACTAAAGAAGATTTATCAGGTGTAAACATGCTGGCGCTGCAGGTGCAGCCGACTCTGAGGCACATCCTACACTGTCACCCTTGTCCTTGGTTTTCACACACACCCCCTCGTACCACGTATTGTGATGCATATGCTCCAGTGGGACACGCCCAGATCCCAGAGTCCTCCGTCAGGCTCCTCCGATAGAATTTTGCATGGCAGAAGCTTCAGTCGCCTAGAAACTATCTTTGAAACCATTTATGGACTGCAAGCTGCCCACTGCTTCCCCCTCCCTTTCTGTGGGCAGCTCTAAAAGACCACAGAAATATTGTATGAGTTGACATTGGGTTTATTTAACAAACAGTGGTTTCCCACTAACAGAACTTTGGGGAGAGAGGAGATCCTTGCAGCGTCATTGGGAGCTTATGGGTCTGAAGAACAAACAAGCAAACATAAACAAATAAATAAACGCACCCCAGGAATGCTGTAGGGCATGGGTGTCAAATTCGCGGCGTCATGTGGCTGTAGCATGACGTTTTCCCCCTTCGCAGAACTGGGGTGGGCGTGGTCTGCCCGTGGCGCATCCGGCCAGTGGGCCGCCAGTTTGACCCCCCTGAACTCTTGACTGGGAAAGTGGCTGAAGAGGGGGGGGGTGTCCCTGGCATCATCCCCCAGAGCCCCCTTGGGCCAGAGGAGCAGGAGGGACCGCCAGGGCAGCCGATGTCCTGCCTGCTGCAGCCGGGTTGAGGAGCAGCTGTGGGGGAGGGGAGCTGGCCCCTCCTCTGCTGCTCCCTCTCCTGCCCTCGGGTGCCGCCAAGGGGAGCCAGTGTCACCAGGGTCCTTCGCTCCAAGCTGAGCCAAAGCGTCGCTCTCTGTGCTTCCCCAGACGGCCCTGGCCACCGAGAGCGGGTGCTGATGCTGCAGCTGAAGGAGGTGGTGGACCGCCAGCGGGACAAGATCCGCGCTCAGGACCACGAGATCCAGCGCAAGGCCTGGGACACAGAGGCGGTGAGTGCCGCGGGGCCCGGGGGGGCTGGGGGGCTCCCCCAGTTGCTGAGGGTGGTTGTGGCTCTGTCTCCACAGCTGCAGGAGCAGCTCAACCGCTTCATGACCATGAACGAGAACCTGCGCCGGAAGCTGGCCGTGGTGCAGGCCCAGCTCAGGAGCGCCCTGGAGAGGAAGGGCGAGGCGGAGGCCCTCTGGGAAGCAGCAGAGCCTGCCAGGACTGGCACCCCCACGGTGAGAGGGGCAGAGCAGGCGCCTGGAGGGAGGGCAAAGGGGGCTCGCGGCCAGCGCAACCTAGAGGGGCCCTGGCCTCCCAGGCCCCTCCTCCTCCTCCCCCGTCTGCCTGAACAAGAGCCCCGTGGACAACTACGGCGGGCACTGCCAGCCTTAGGAGGTAGACCAGATCAGAAGCCAGCTCCCTAGGAAGACCCCAGGGAGTTGGGGAGGGCCAGTCTGGGCCTTTTCCTAAGGCTTCCCCACCTGCCTGGCCTTGTTGAGTTTCTGCCCCGCTTGAGGAGGGCTTCCGGACGGCTTCTCCAAGGTAAATCGTAGTCGGTGCCTCCCCACAGCACCTTTTGTCCTTCTCAGTTGGGCTCCAAGGAGTCTTGGGATGAGGGGGAGCGCTGGGGGGGAGGGTCCCACTGAGGAGCACGGGGCTAATGGAACCCCGAGTGCAGCCTGGGCACTTTCCAGCCGGAAGGGGTTGCCCACAAGGAGGTGCCCATTGACCGGCTTCATTTTACGAACCATTTGATTCACGGCTTCGGCCTGACCCGGGTGGCTCACAGAGCAAGGCAATGAACACGATCCGATCCCCATCTTTCCTTAGGAGCAGGAGGAGGGGGATGGGGGTGGGGCTGCAGCCCCCCCAGAACACTCGCCTGACCAGCGCACCTTCTCGAAGGAAGAGCTGCAGCAGATCCTGCAAGAACGCAACGAGCTCAAGACCAGCCTCTTCTTGGTGGAGGAGGAGTTGGCCTATTACCAGCGGTCAGTCAGTCTCCCCGGGTACTTTGAGGAGGGGGGAGGGAGAGCTGCTCTCCTGATGGACCCATTGCAGCGCCACAACTGCCTCTGCTCCAGGAGAGCTGGACTGATTCTGGCAGGGAGGCCCAAGTTGGTCTTACGATAGGCAGTAGCTGCTGCAGGGTCCTCTATGGGGGGTGGGGGCGGGGGATTCAGCCCTGCTGAAATACGGGGTGTTACCAACCCTGGGACCACCCCTCTTCTTCGGTGCCTCCTGCCAAGAGTTGGCTTCTTCCCCTGCCAGAAAGCTTTTGGCTATCAAGACTGGGGCTTGTTGGGTTGGGTGGCTATTAAAAGCGAAGGAATAATAAGTTCTTCTTAAGACAAAGTCTGTACCCGTTTTCAGCCTCACCCTACAGTGCTGCTGTAATCTTACTTTTCGCCCATTTGAGAAGCAGGAGGGGTTTTTGCCTTCCTTCAGAAGACCGAGCCCCCAGCCCGCCCAAAGGAAGGGGCTGGTCCCTCGGAGACCCTCCAGGGCAGGAATCCTCCACTGCCCCTCCCCAAGAGACCCCTGTCCAGCCTCCATGAAAACACCTACCCCCAAGGCCCCCAGCCCCCAAGCCAGTTAAAGAGCGCTCCGTGTCCGGAAACACTTCCCACCAAAACACTCCCATTTGAAATGCCTCGTTTCTCGCCTTCTGGAACCTGCTTGGAAAATCCCACCTGGTCATCCGCTTGGTGGCCCTTTGGGACAGATGGCTGCCACATCTCCTTGCGCTTTTCTTTTCTCCAGGAAGCTCCAGTTGGCCAAGCTCTGTCCTAGCCCCGACCCCTTTGCCTCCTCTTCCCCATGAGGCCTGGCCTTGCTCACCTGCCCAGGGAGCCAGCCCACCTGGAGCTAGAATGATCCGGAATGGCAGAGTTGGGAGGCACCTGGGATGCCTTCAGTCCAACCTCCTGCTGCCCTCGGTCATTTCAGGCTCCTCTTAGAAGCCTCCAGGGTTGGAGCCGCCAGAGTTTCCGGGGGGGGGGGGGGGGGGGGGCAAACCCTTCCGCTAGTTAATTGTCCTCGCGGTTAGGAAATTCCTCCTAGGTTGCTTCTCTCCTTGATTAGTTTCCCTCCGGTGCTTCTCGTCCTGCCTGCAGGGCTTTGGAGAAGAGGTTGAAGCCCCCCCCCCCCCCCCGCGCTCCTTTGGGCAGCCCCTTTGACATTGGAAGACTGCTGTCCTGTCACCCCTGGTTTAAGATGGTCCCCAAAACCACGTTTGTTTTAAGCTAGAGGAAACAGTGAAAGAAGCTGGGTCCCTGGGCTGGGAAAAAGGAGAGAATTAACTTAGTTCTCCTGAGCCTTTAGTATAAGAAGCTTTTAAAAAGCTCAGGAAACAAGCAAGTGACATTTCCTTTAGGAATCTGATTATCTTTAAAAATGGGGTTAAAATGTTTAGCCAGAAAACTGCATTTGAATTTTGAACACTGGCGTATGTTAAGTCTTGTATGTCTCTACAGGTAGAAAATTCTGTGTAATCAACTTTTTTTAATTCCAAACTTTTTGTATTCCCAGAAAACTACTTTTCATTAACTTCTTTTGAGCTGAAATATAATTTACAAGCAGTTTCGTTGCTGAGCTCACTAATTGGATCATTGGATTTTTTTTAATCTCATACAGAAACATCATTTTATCATGATCGGGTTATCCTAATCCCCACTGGGAATGTTTACATTTTAATATAAAAAGAGTTACTGCGCTTTCTCTTTTATAAAATAACGTTTGATTTTATTTATTGATGGTGAGATTTGTCTGTCTCCCAAGGAATTTGCAGAACAGCAGAAACCGCTAATTGCAGGGTTTGATCCTCTCTAGTCACGAGGTTGCTGTATATAAGTTATTGTTGGTCGCACCGTCAGCCGCTGCGTCTGACCTTTTTATCCACCTGTCTGGTCCTTCCCCAAGACCTGGGATGGGCAGGTGGGGTTGTTTGATGGTCTTAAAGGTATGCGCTGTTCCCAGGAAAGCTGCCTTTTGCAATTGACCGATGCTGATCAGGTGATGGTCCAGACGTTCTGGGATTGCACCCAAAGCACCTATGCCGATTGGTGCCACCTTTGCTTTCTTTTGCCCCAGTTGTTTTCCTCCTATCTGCCGGGCTTTGTGTTTTGTATCTTCTCCAGTTCTTCCTCTTCTCTTCTGCTGTCTCCAGGTACTGCAATGTCCACTGAACAAACTTTTTTGCTTTTCTTACCGACAATTGTTAACTCTGGAGTGTTAACTCTGGAGTCTCTGGAGGGGCAGGCGCCTGTCTGTTTGAATTCTAAAATCCCAGAGCAAGTTGGTTTCTTCATTTTCTGTGACTTTCTCTATTTTATGGTTCCACCAGTTCTTGCTTGCAGGCAAGTGATATTTCTTGCAGTTCTTCCCATGCCCAGTGTTGCTACTTTGTCGTGCTGTTGCTTGCAGTCTGTTTGATCTTCTTGCGGCAGCTAACCAGGTCATCCACTGTTTCTTCAGTTTCTTTGCCAAGGCGGCATTTGCTGTCTGTCGCTGCCTATTAACGGCATGAGAAGTGAACCAAGAAGCTGCACCAGATCCAGAGGCAGGACCAGGGTGTTGGTAGAGCCAGAGGCTTGTGAGGGACGGAGGGAGGTTGGGCCAAGACCTTTGGGGTGAGCCAGCTTAAGAAACAAACTTCCCGGGAAGACTGGGAACCCTACTTCAGAGAGAGAAGACCATAGTAAGAGAGTCATTAGGCAGCTTAATCGCTGCTCCTTCTTATGTCTCAGACAGAAGTTTGCCTGGGTTGCTTTGAATACGATCTTGCTTTCCAGGAGTTAAGGAATATTTCAGCCCTCTTTTCTTGCCTGCTTTCTTATATACTTAAACTGTTAAGTTTATGTAGCCATCCAACTGAAATAGTCACCCAGTCGCCTTACTGGTGAGATGGGGGGGGGGGATAAATTTAATAAATAAATGTAAAAATAAAATATATGACTTTGAGAAGCTCACAGTAATTAAAATATAAAAAACTAAATCCACACTAAATCTACCATTGTATAATATAAAGATAGTATAAAAAATACCCGCCTAACATTGTCCAAAGTGCAGTAAACCAGCATCTATCCGCAATCATCTCCAAGGCACCGCAGAGGCTCTGCCACCCATCGGAACCGCCCCCTGCAATGGCAAAACGCCTGTTTCCCACCCAGGGATGTTCCTGGAACGTCCAGCCGAACGTCCCCCCACCCAGCCGTTCAGTTCATCCGACCGATTCCCTGGCGTTGACTCTTAGCGACCACCCTAGGATCTGACACGCGGTGCAGACATTCCGGTGGCCATTCTGTCATTTCCCTTTATTGTCTTTGTATTTATCTTACTGCATTTGTATTTTGTTTTTTATATAGTGAGTCAGTCCAGGTGACCGTGGAGTTGGGCAGGGCCAAAATAAATAGATAAATGCCAGTCAATCTGTCCTCAGCCCTTCGGACCTCCCAGTGGTCCCCAATGGCCTCTCTAGTCAAGTCCATCCCGTTTGCTGGAGGCTTTAAGAAAGAGACTGACATGGTCTCTCCTGCTTGAAGGCGGTTGGACTAGAAGATCTCCAAGGTCCCGTCACGGGATCTGTCACTCTGCTACTGTTTGCTGTCTTTTTCCTCCCACCTTCCTAAAATGTGGTGCCCAAGCTGACCGGGCCAGAACGGAGGGGACAGCAGGGGCTTCTTTCGCAGCGGCCTCCCACTCGGGGCTCATCTTTAGCCTGGGACCCCAGCGGAATGCGAGGTTCCAGGCGTAGCTCCTGCCGAGGCCTGATAAGGCAGGACTTGACCTTGAGCTGATCCCCCTGTGGAGGCAGCCTAGGACTGCGCTGGCTTTGGGGGCAGCTGCCACGCACGGCTGGCTCCTATTTAAAGGGCTGCCCACCGGGACCCCTGGATCCTCTCGCAGCTATTACAGGAGAGGTAGATTGCCTCCTCCCCCCACCGCCACATGCCCCACCCCCACCCCCCGTACCGGTCCTGAGACTGAGACTGAGCTGCTTCTGCCTCCAGGGAGCTGCTTAATGGGGAGCGAGTCCCTGCCCTCCTGCTACATGCGGTGAAATCTGCCATCAGGAAGCAGCGCAAGAAAATCTGGGCCAAGATGCTGGGCACAGAAGAGGAGACGGCGGGCAGGTGGGTCTCCCCAGGTATCCCCCCTCCCTCCCTCCCTCCCTTCCTTTCCTCTCTCCCTCTTTCCCTCCCACTCTCTCCCTCTCTTTCCTCTCCCTCCCTCTCCCCCCTCTCCCCTCCTATCTCCCTCTCTTTCCTCTCCCTCCCTCTCCCCCCTCCCTTTCCTCTCTCCCTCTTTCCCTCCCTTTCTCTCCCTCTCTTTCCTCTCCCTCCCCCTCCTCCCCCTCCCCTCCTATCTCTCCCTCCCTC